CCCCTAAACCCTAAACCTAAGCCCCTCAACCCCAACCCCTAAACCCTAACCCCTAAACCCTAAACCCTAACCCTAATATGAAGGGGCCCATGTGGTATCCAGGTCCCAGGCCCTCAACGGCACTCTGACAGGGCTCGGAGCCCCAGAACGCGTGTTTTTTTGTTTTTTTTGTAGGGGTTTTTGCCTTTTCAAGGGTTTATCTAGGCTTTAGGGAGCCCCAGAACACTTTTTTTGTCTCTTTTTTTTGAACGGTGGTTGGGGGTTTACAGGGTTTCGGGTTCTTGCAAGGTTTGTGTTAAGAGTTTGTTTTTAAATGGGGTCTAGGGTTTACGGCTCTTGCGCGGAATGTTCATGTTTGAAGTGTTTTGAAGGTTGGTTGAGGGTTTAGGGTTCTTGCAAGGTTTTTTGTTATCCTGATGTCAAGGGCTCTGATAGGGATACCCATTTTTTCCGACGGAGGTGTTCATTGGATCATGGGTTTCTTGTAGCAGGAACCATGCTGGATGTTCCGACAAACTTGCTTTTTCTGTTGATATTCGCACGGAGGTATACACAGTAAGTTAGCACATGTTTATCATGGGCCTAAGGTGCTTCTAGACTTGATGTGGGGCTCGGGGCTTAGTGGGTTTTGGAAGGAGTATGCAAGTGTAGAATCGGACTTCTCCTCCGGTTTCAACCTCAAACAGTTTGATATGGGTCTTTGGGGCTTTTCGTAGGTGCTTACCCACGTTGGCTTCAGGGTTGACTTCAAGGATCATGGGACTCAGCGGCGGCTTTGAGTTGGGGTTGTTCGGGGCCTTCGGGTTTAGGGGTGGAGGCCTGAAGCGGCAAAAGTGTCTGCTGGCAGCCGGTCCCGTAAGTAGAATGATCCTTCAGGTAGAGGTGGGAGGGTTTTGGGCCGGGATCGTATGCTTTGTGACCCCTAAACCCTAAACCCTAAGCCCCAACCCTAAACCCTAAACCCCAAACCCCAAACCCTAAAGGCCAAACCCCGAACCCGAAACTCCAAGCCCCCAACCCCAAACCCTAAACCCCAATGGGCCAGGGCACCGTAAAGTTTGGGATTCATGCTAAGATGCTAGGTCGTATTAGGGGCACCCCTCAAAAGGGGACCCTTCTTAGCCCT